CATTTCAATGTGGGTAAAACAATGCCATCAACCACCCCTTTTTTGATGGTTTATACCCATAAAAATGGTGACTGGGGGATGGTTTATGATTGTTCTACCCACATTCATGGGGCTCATCCCAGCGGAGTCAAGGGACTCAGAGAGAGCTCCATCTTGCGATCCGGATCCGTCAATGCCTCGGCGCCGCACAAGGATCGATCGAGCCCCGCGACATGGGAAGAACGGAAGAAACATGAAGCGATTGCGAGTCGCAAACTCCAACCAACTACCCTCTGGTAAATTAACGTAGCTATTGAAAATGGCCATTTATAGTGAGTTTTCCCATTAAAAATGGTGATTTTCCATATCTATGTTAGTTTACCAGAGGGTAACCAAATAGCTGTTGAAGCATGCAAAATGAAAATGAATTTGCAAATTTCATCAGGAGAACCTAGGAACAATGATATTCCAACATGTTCTAAACGTGTGCCTCCTGCAGGGAAACTTCGGAAACCGGAATGGCAATCCAACGCCGAAAAGATCGGATGTGTCTCTCCAAATTGGGCCCCAAAACCATCCAAAACCACTGGTGAAACAGTCAACCCGTTGAGCTATCTCAATGGGGGTTCCATAAATGGGGGTATCCGGATGATTTATTTCATGGCATATCCCACAAGAAAATGATAATTGGATAATTGGATATAATTGGGGTACCACCATTTTGGGAAACCTCCATATTGCTGATTACATACCAATAGAATTTCAACAATATTGGTTGATATCAATTAACAAGTAAGCTGCACAGATGGACAACCTGAGTCTTCGCCACGTTTTCAGCCCAGATGCCGGGAACATTTTGGGCTGACACCAAAGGAGCAGCAATGCAAATAGGGAGCAAAAAACGCAATGCCCGATGACCAACACGAAGGGATAGGGGAAATGATGTTCCTACGGCGACACTCTTGGGACCAAGCGTAGAAGTCACACTTTCCAGCGTCAAATAATGTGGATGTAGTGGATGTAGAACAACAAGGATGGGCCATGAAATTGAGCGAATGGGCTAATGATATTGGGTAGCAAATGACTTTATGTCGTTTATGCCCAAGAAAAGGGAACCTATCTACCCAAGCTTCAAGAAAATGTGGACATTGCACGCTGGTATGCTGCATGTCCATGTCCGGCAATGTTTGGGCCAAATGTTGGTACTCTCCAGCAATCAAACATGGTAGTGGGCCAGGGGAAATCATGTTTTTCAAGAAAACATGAACTCTGAACGATTCTGAACGGATTTCAAGTCATTTTAAATAAACATTTTCCACAGCCAGCTGAGATTTCTAGAGGGTAACAGTTTCCGTACTTGAGCGTTTAGGATAATTAGCGTCCACAGCATGAGAACAGGCCCTCAAGTGTTTAGTTCCTGGGTGCTGCATCTTGCCAAGGGTCCAGTGCGTTGACTTCAGGCACGATTTCCACGAAACCATGTGGTTCCCAATGTTCCCAGATTTTTCACCCCTATTCCAAGCAGGAAGCATCAATCAACGTATTTTCTCAGACTTCCGATGCGAAACCCCAGTACCCTACTGAAGGATCAGGGCCTAAAATGGCCTAAAACATCAAAAATCAAAGTTTGATATACTTTGATGCCAGACTTCCCTATGTTATCCCAAGACGACCAGTCAGGTCCTTCATCAAATACTGATTGGTTCGGATCAGGCCCGTTGAGAGGCTGATCACGATGAATGGCAGGCAGCAGCAAATGATCATCTCCTGCGCCGATCTGCAGAAGTTTCAGATCATGTTTTATTTTAAAAAATCTAAATAATAGATGATAATAGATGTTATGTATATATATATATACACTATATATGTGCACATCTAGGCTTGCACACCTACGTATATATATATATATATATACATACACACACATGTATTAATATATAACAATAATTATATAGTTTTTTTAATTAAATGAATGACTCACTTTGAACCAGCTCAAGGCGCCTGCGGTCGGACGTCCTGTGAACAGATACTACACTGATCATAGCCATAAGGCCTGAGAATGACCATGTGAATTTCACTCCGGTCTCCTCCTGTGCTGCCTGGCTGTGAGACCAATGATACAAAAAAATCAGGCACAGTCGAAACATCGCCTGAATGTGCTACATGGGATGTCCTTTCCAGCTCGCTGCAGGTGTTTGCAGCTTGGCAAGTGATATTTTGCACCGCCGCTGGTGATTCGGACTTCCTCTGGAAAACGTGCGTCTCTAATTCGCTGCTGCTGCTCCTCGTAGACCCGCTGCATGCGCTGGATGGACTCCTTCTTCTCCTCCAGCGTGTTCTTCAATCTCTGGTTCTCTCCTTTCAAATCTTCCACTTCTGAGGTTGCCTGTTCCAAGGCTTCCTTCATAGATCTCATATCGATCCGGTGAAGTCCAAGTGGTCCATCTCCGTGCGCTGAGCTCGGTGCTGCGCCACCATCACCAGAACTTTCATCTCGTCGTGCCACCTTGTTGCCCATGTTTCGGAGCTGCTCCTTCAGGTCCGCAATCCGGGCTTCCTTTTCCTTGTTGGCGGTTGTCATTTGGACAACCCGTGTTGCGTTGTAGTTCTTCTGCTCCAAGGCCGTAGTGATCTCCTTGTTGAGCTTGTCGATAATGTTGCGTTTTCGTTCCATCTCTTCTTCCAAGTCTTCGATCTTTTCCTCTGCCTTAGCAAGATCGCTATGTGCTTGGTCACTGTTCTCCTTGTGCGTGTCCCTGTTGTTGACCAGGACATACTGGTACTCCAAGAGTCGTTCTTTTTCTGCTTCCAGATCTGCAACTTTCCGTTGTAGTTCGACAATCTCCTTCTCTGTGCCATCATCGTCAACCTCCATAGCATCGCTCATCTCCACCTTCAGCTTCATGTCCATCAGCTTGAAGACATAGTGCGCGATGTAGAGCCCGATCTTTCGCACGAAGTGCAGTTGGAACACATACTTCTCGGTCAGGATGGCTGCAATCACGATGACATAGATCAGGAAGTAGTACATCACCATGCCAATGTAGTTGGAACTCGGTTGAACTTCATGTTCACGAACGGCTTGTGCATTGGCCATGGATGCCATTCCCATCATCAGCGCCATCCGCATAGTGCTCGATGTCGAAACGCCCATCAGGCCGAAGAGCACCGTTGCGGGTGAGGCTTTGACAGCCTGCGGATTCTCCTTCACATAGTCCAGCAGCTTCTCATCGTCCATCATCAGGGTCTGCTCATCATAGTCCTGCAAGGACGGTAAAATGCGGCTGATCACCGGGTGATTGTCTACCCCATATATGGTTACCATTCCCGTAGTGAGAAACTGCAGCAACTCTGGACTTTGCATTGGTTTTGTCAATGCATCAGCTGTCATCGATTCAGTTGGAATCAAAGTTGTTTGACGGATACGGCCAGTGATGCGACCTTCACGAATGCCCAGCACATACAACCTCTGGGTTTTGTCTTGAGGTAAAACCTTCTGTCCAGTGCAAAGCTCGAAAAGGTCTCTGCAATCCATGTAGAAATCTGAAGGCAAAGCTGGGTTTCCGTTCTCTTGGATGTCCACCAATTCCTTCAGCGTAGGCTTGAGAGAAATATGCATCATCTCTGAGAGTCGCACCATCACCAAAGTTGTGGATTCTGTTCCATTCACCATGGACAAAGTTTCAGCGTGGCTGGTGCTGTATGAAATGCGTTTTGCCTTTCCACCATGTGCATGCAAGACATGCATGACACCTCCATGCATCCTCACAGATTCTTCATCATGTATCACCTCATGCTCCATCGTTTGATCTCGCCAATGGTCATCTGCAAGCAAAACCAAAATGCCTTCTTGTGCGTAATGACGACCATTGTTTGCAGAACTGGCATCATGTATACAAACCAAACGTTGATGAGGTGTTTGAAATCGCCTGTAGTGCAAGGCGGCTTCTCGGCAATCTTTTGCTTTCACCAGCACTTCATTGGCCATCTTCAGCTCCTTCACAGTCGCTGTAGTCACCTTTGATTGTAGCAAAGAAACATCTGCCACCAAATCCAAACGAGTTGCGGTGACCCACAAAAGAGCACCCAGGGCAGATCTGAAGTCTGTGACCTCGGACTGTTCCAAACGTGAATCATCAGGTCTTGAAGGAATCGGAGCTGGCTTCATCTTGTCCACGAAATCCTCTTGGTCAATGGCATAACCGTCTTTGGTTCGGCGATAGGTGCATCCACAATGACTAAACGGCAGGCTCTGTCTGGAAACCTTCTTGAACTTCTGGACAAACTTGTTGTAGTGATTGTTCAGCCATTTGGAAGATGCCGTCAGAGCCAAGTCATCAACATGAGTGGTTAGCATCGCTTCCACGTTGTCAAGGCTCATGGTTGTTGAAGGCCGCTTCCAAAGAAAACAGTTTTCATCCAGTTTGCTTCTCGCTGCACCTAAGTCCAAGATGTACTCATGCAAACATAGCTGCCAAGCCAGTGGAGCATCGTTGAGCCCGTAGATGGGTTTCAAACACAAAAGACCATATTGGTGAAGAGACTGTTGAGGAACCTTGAAAAGATCTGAGTACTTCTGCAAATGCCTCCATACGTTGAGAGGGGGAAACACCACCACCTGTCTTGTCGGTGCATCTAACCCAAGCTTCTTCAAGGACTCCTGGATTCGCTTGAAATCAAATCCTTTCAGGAAGGCACCGGCAATGTCCCAGCTCTCCACATCTTTGTCCTCGTCTCGAGCTGCTTGCGACACCAACAGTCGTTGTGACAATCTCGTCGCAGTGGTGCTTCGGGTCGTCAACTGTTGCTTCTGTGCATCGAAGCATCCCCGGGCACATAGTCGAGACTTGACCTTGATGGAGCCATCTGGGTATCGTTTGTGTTTCCGTACCCATTTGCAGTCGATCACCACCATCTCATCAGTCAACTGCAGTGAATGAATTGGCTTGAAAGCCTTTTCCTCCACGAACTGCTTGACTTCGTTGGAGTCTGCCAGATCAATCTCTGGCCACATCTCTGCAGAGATTTGGTGATCTTCAAAGGTACTCGTTTCTTGATCCACCTTGTAGATCTTGGCCGTCCGGAGACATGCAATGGCTTCACTGTTGCACTTGTAGTCGATGGTGAAGAGCATCGTCTTGTTGTTCTTGCGGTCAAGGTCGTACTTCTGCAGGAGGAAGTTCCTTGCAGTTGCGGTCAAAAGAGAATGACCCAAACGCCAATCTTCGCTGAAATCAAGTTGTACTCGAAGTTGGGGAGTTGTGGCGTTGTACCAATGTCGCATGAACTCGATCTCATTCTTGATGTAGGCGATCTTCTGCTTCTTCTTCTCAGGAGAAAGAATCACAGTGCGTGATTCTGGACCTTCTCGTTTTCTGCTCTGTGGATCTTCTTCCATTGGTATTGGATTGGATGGTTCAGGAGCTTCAGGCTTCTCTTCAGTGTTCTCCTTCTTTGGATGAACATTTGGATGGATGGCTTCTTCGCTGACCATGATGTAATAGAAGAAGTAGAGGGTGCAGATGTCCTCCTTGTTGTGATTGGAAATCCTTTTCATCCGCAAATGGTTGTCTGTCTTGTGCTCCTGAATGGAGTAGTTTCTTCCACCATGAATCCATGTGATCAGAGTGCCAATGGTTCCAGCTGGGGGTTTCATGGATCGAAGAGCTCGTCCAAATAGAACACCATGTAGAGTGCGACTTGTGAGGCCTTTTGAAACTGTCTCTGCCTTGGCAATGATGTTGATGGCCTCGTTGTTGTTCTTTGGCAGTCGCACCCAAGACTCATTCCGTTTGCGGATCCAACCATAGAGGTACACCTTGTACTCGGACATGTTCTCCACGTACTTCATGAGCTTCCAAAGTGCATCGTCCATCTGAGGGGTTTGAATCTCCATGTGGTAGATGCCACGGAAAGCTCGGATGTGTCGCAAAGAGACCAGGTAGGGCTTTCCTTGATACTGTATGATGGCAACTCCTTCGTCAGCATCAAGGCGTAGTAGAAGCGCCGGTCCTCGCCATCCTTGATCATTCTTGACCTCCCTGTAAAATTCAACTTCTGAAGTTCCGGCCACAAGTTCGCCAACATCCAATTGGTGAGGTCTCGTCCTTGAAGCTCGTGCCACTCTGTCTTCAATGACAGCCTGTTGTGCTTGTGCAAGAGATGTCTGTCTGATCCGTAGAGCTCGTTCGAAAACTGTCAGATCTGTCTCAAGAGCTCCCTCGGTGTTCATCACATGCTCGGAGTCAGGGTTGTAGAACTCCCGAGGCATGGTGCCGTAAACGGCCATAGATGGAGTCACACCGCCGTAGGACAAAGTCAGGTTCTGGGCCATGGCTGCTTCTTGTCCAAGCTCAGGTTCAGTTGGTTGAAGACCTTGTCGTTGAAGTTCAGCTCGTAGTTTGAACATAGTGAGCTTGGTCAACTGGACGTGTCTTTCCACGATGCCTGTACCAGTATGTTGCTCTGAACCATGACCAGAAGTAGTGCCGCGAGGACAGCGGTTGATTCCCAGGCGTTCAAATTCTGCACCAGAGTCGTGACTCATCAATGCCACCTGCTGATCCAGCACCAAACGTTCAGGAGGTCCAAAGTGGTAGATCCAAAGTTCCAGGATGGCCTTCATGAGATGTTCGGACTCCTGTCCATCAATGGTGCCACACTTCTTGAAGCGTGTTGCTTCGTCGATCAGCAGCATAAACCATGTTGACTCCCAATAGAACAAATCCATTTGGACCGTCTCGTTGAAGACATGGGCACCTCGTGCTCGTAGTTGAGGACGATTCGGAAGTCTGATGTGCTTCCTGCAAATCGCACAGCACTTCACAGCCTCCTTCGCAAGGGAGATGACTTCGCCAGACATGCCAGCTCTTCGAAGAAGATTTGTGAAATCCGAAGCTGGTGAATGCCAAAGACGTTCATGCAGTCCCAGCAGCAGTCTTTTGGCTCTTTCATTTTCTCCTTGTTCCACCAGTGTTGGAAGTCGTTGTAGAACTCGTCGCAAGTTGTAGTTTGGTCGAATCGGAGCCAAGGCTGCATGAGGTTGGACTTCAAATTCTTCTTCTCCTGGTTGTTGATCTGGTTCCGCTGACTCATAGGCTGGCTGCATCAAGGCTTCATCATCTCTTCCATCAGGTAGAGCTCGAACTGAAGGTTGTGCAAGAGGCTCGTCCTCCTTCTTCTTGAAGCTAGGCTGTGATGGAATCGATCTGGTTCTTGTCATAGGAGTTGATGGAGCTGGCACACCTTGCAACTCTGTTCCAAAGATGGTAATCATCCAGTCGTCCTCATCGATCGCTCCATAGATCTGATTGTGGCTGCATTCTCGTAAATCTTCTACTGGATGTATGTGCCACTCCTTGACATGTCCTCGAATTTGCAGTCGAAGATGAGATGATTCCACAGCCAGAACAGGTTGTGCGTCGCGAAGCTTGGAAGGGCGTAGTTCCACTCGCACTCCACGGACGAGCAGATGTCCACCAAAGATCTCCTTGAAGATTGCCAAATGGGTTGAAAGGTCAATCCAGTGGTCGTACTCAATCTTGTTCTTGATGGCTTCTCTGACGTACTCCAAGGTCATGTCAACTGCTTCAATCAGCAGCCTCTTGAGATAGTGTTGTTGGGATTGGTCAAGTACTGGAAAAGAGTGGTCGTGGATCTTGATGGATTCGTAGTTCTCTCTGTCAGCTCGTTCTTTCCAGTTGGCAAGTGGGTCCACAGGTGTTGTTGTCTTTCCTTTTCCTTTCGGACCAGTGCCAGCTGCCCAACGTCCATGTCGACATTCTTTGGGAACCATAGTGTGTGGAATGTCTGAAGGACAAAAACGACCAAGCTGACATCGAACACATTCGTAGAAATGTTGAACAGCAAAATGTCGAAGATGTTCAGGCCATCGGCCAAGCTGTAGCAAGTTGTTGTTGTGGAGAAAGTCAATCACATCCAACTTCATCTTCTGGCACATGCTGCGAGGATAGGCTGCGGCTTTTGATGTCATCGTCAAACCACTGGAGTCAGTTCCACGAAGGTGAGCATGTAGTTTCCCTTTGTGTCCAGAACAGCGTAGAGCAGTGCGCTTCCATTTGATGTTTGAAGAGAATCCAGTAGCCTTCTGAACAGGGGCTCCATGTTCATCTTGAGCTCCAAGCATGCATTGATCCAGACGTTGCCGTTTGCGATGTCCTGGAAGAGCTTGAAGTCGTAGTGGATTCTCAGGTAAATCTTCTTGGAAAAGTGCGCTGCCTAGGGGCTGTTCCATGTTGTAGCCACGGGAATGTTTGCATTGACGCTCACATGTCTCCTGGGTGAACTCCAGCGATGATCGAGCAGCCCAACGTTCTTGCAGTCGAAGTTCAGGATCTTTCGATGACGAAGAGACACTCCATGGTGCGCAGTCAGGTGCAATGTGCACCACTCCTGGTTGAAATTCAGCTTGGGCTTTGCGAAGCATAGCTTGGTGGCTTTCGTTTGACAAGTCCCAGCCGTAGCGGAAGTCCACGGGAAAGCCAACAATGAGTCCAGCCATGAACATCACCAAGCTGAGTCTTCCAGTGCCGGAGAAAAGCTCCCAAAAGTGCCATCGAAGTCCTTTTCCTTTGGTTCGATTGAACCACTTGTTGAAGTTCTTGGGGGTGACTGGAGCCATGCCCGTCTTTGTGTAGTACTCCTCAGGAAGGGCCTTGTATCGTCTTGTCAGCTTCGGCACATCAGCGCCTTCAGGCAATTGGTCTTCCTGGTACTTCGGGAAGTGCTCGTCGTCTCCAGCTGTTGATGCCAAAATGGCAGAAGCTTTGGAGTTGGTCATCTCTGCTTTGACGTCGTCGTAGTGCACGTGAGACTCCTTGGGAGTCAAAGGAGACTTATTGGCCAAAATGGCTGGCTCCTGTGAAACTGGTTGTTGCGGCTCGTCCAAAATGAACTGAACTGTCTTGGTTCGGACAGTTGGAGCCGATTCAGATTCTGATCGTGGTAGATCTTGTTGCAGTGGTACTGAATCAGGTTCAGGTCGAAGTGCATCATGTTGTTGAGATGGTTGGTCATGTGATGGAGGTAGATCAGGTTGTTGTGTTGTGGATGTTGTGTCATGTGTTTGAAGTGAATCAGGTTGAGGTTGTGCTGAATCAGGTTCATGTGAATGATGCTTGTCAGGTCGATGTCGTTCTTGATGGTTGAATGTCTTGCTGTCGCTATGGATGATGTCTTCGTTTTGATCACCCCGGTCACCTCCTGGCTGCAAAACGGTGACTGGCCTGTTGTAGTTGAGGAAGCAATGACGGACTCGGTCATGAACATCGTTCCATTGTTTGGCACTCTCCTCAGCGACCTTCTGCGTGAACAGCATGACTTCCTTCTTGGTCTCCTTGGCCACGCGTGCTGTCTGCTCGTGGTCGGTCGGCAGGATGTAGTGCCCCGAGTCTGTCAAGAGCAAGCGGAAGATGCGGTAATGCTTCTCCTCGCTGTCTTTCTCTCTTCCACCAACCATCATCAGTCCATCTCCATTTGCAAACCAGTTGGCAAAGATACTGGCATCAAGGCGACAGAGTGTTGGGTTGCCAACCAATGCCGGGCAAGTAGAGCCAGAGCCACCAATGACATCTGCCGTGTACGTGATGGAGTAGCCGCCAGCTTGCAAGGGAATGGAGATTTCTCCCAAGGTCTGATTTGCTTCGCCGCTGATGCCGCTCACAGGGGTTGTTTTCTGGTAGTTCATGGAGACCTCATGTTGTTTGCCAAAAGGCGTGATGCAGTTGTCCATCAGCTGCTTCAAGGTGTCAGAGCCTATTAGGCCCGATGCTGCTCCTGGGTCGATAAGAAGACCATGGCGTTGTTCTCCTCGGACATTGAAGTAGCTCTCCAACACATCCATCTGGTTGCCCGCATGGAAGACTGCAAAGTTGAAGGCTGTGCCATGTTTTCGTTCTCCAGGAGGTTGTGCATGACCATCTGAAGGCTCTGCAGCAGCTTTTCTGGTAGTAGATCTCGCCCATTTGAAATCTTCTTCTTCTGAAGAAGTGTGCATCACAAAGGTCTCAGCATGGTTGTTGTAGTTGGCAGTGACGGTGTTGAAATGCCGCGTCGTTGATGTCGATGTAGTGGAGTCTGGAATGCCTTCGGAGAAGTCGATCTTAGGTCTTGATGCCGATGAAGAGGAATACCAGTAGCGCTTGCCTTTTCCATAGCCTTTGCCACCGGATCCAAACTTTCCTCCATACTTGCCACCGTACTTGCCATAGCCTTTCGACTTTCCGAAGCCCTTGTAAGGTCTGTAGCCGCCATAGCTCTTGCCTTTGCCCTTGCGTCCAAAAGCATAGCCTTTTGCTTTCCCTTTTCCATGTTCTTGTCGGTTTGATGGCAAGGGGCAATCGCGAGCCATGTGCCAATGTGAGCCACAGTTGAAGCATCCATCTCCACCTTTGCCCTTGGCTTTTCCACCTTTGTAGTAGTCCTCATGGATCTGCGTCTCATCCTTGTTCTCGGCATCCACAGTCTCGTTTGCTCCAGAAGGTTTCTGTTCTTCTTGGGACTCTTCTCTCCAGCCAGCATCATCATCCCAGTAGTAGTTGCCGTCGTCATAGTCATAGTCGTAGTCCCACCAATCATCGTCTTCTGGATATCCTCCATAGCCATACCACCATAGGTCTTCATCATCATAGTCATGGTTCCAGTCCTCCTCATAGAGCTCCTCATCCATGTAGTCGCCATAGAAGATGTCGTGGTCATTTTCATTCCTGTTTGGGCTGAGTCTCAAAGCCAGGCCTTTTGCATCGTCGAATCTGTTGTAGTCTCCATTGACCTGCAACTTGATGTCGTCGATGGTCTTTGCTGGTAGTCCGCTGTGCTTGAACCAAAGGTAGAACTTGGCGACGTTGTTCAACTGAAGTCCTGCTCTATCTTGCGCCTCGTCATACCTTGTCTCGAACTCCACAGCGTACTCAGCCAGTGACATCTTTTGACCTTGACGGGTGAGGCCGAAGAACTTGTCCAACGCTGCTGTTGCAAGATCTTGGTCAAGTTGTCCAAAAGCTTGTCGGAGCGCATGCATGAGGTACTGCACTCCGCTGGCTATGTGGTTCTGGATGATTGCACCAGTGTTGGGGTCCACCACCTCGTCGACAGCCAGTCGTGACAAAGCGTCCGGGCCAATGTCCAGCTGTCCATCGGGTCTGGGAATCCTCAAAGACATCGCCACCTTCGCCGCTCGACCATGTAGTCTGCCGGCTATCAGTGGTCCGACAACTTCGTCTTCAGCTGTCGTTGTCTTGTACCACAGCTGCAGTTTCTCTAGGTACAATCTTAGAGGATAACCAGGGTCCCCCGGAGCCCAACCCGGTGGAGTATCCCTTCGGAACTCCTGCAATGGCAAAGTCCCCGTTGAAGTCGGAGGATTCATAGTTCACCACGCCAACCAATGCTAGCAAGTGACAAAGAGCTCCTCCGTGATCGGCCAGTAGAGCAAGTTCACCGCTTCCGCCAGCGCAAGCAAGTGACAAAGAGCTCTGCCAAGACCAGCCAGTAGGGGAAGTTCACCAACGCCAGAGGCCGTAGACCTTCAGCAGCAAAGGTCAGGTTGAAGCGCTCGAAGATAGGTCCAGGGCCTAGTTGAAGAGCACCTCGAAGTTGTCCTGGATCACCACACCAAGCCCGTTGCCGCAGAGGCCACCAACCAAGGAGTCAGGAATCTCGAGCAGCCGCAGGATGTAGTGGCCACTCGTAAGTGGCAACCTGCCTCCGCAGGTGGCAGCCGAAGGAGCAAGCCCGCGCACAAACGCGAGGGCACCGGCAACGGAGCCCGGTCGTCCGGGCTCCGCTACCAAACTCACTTTGAACCAGCTCAAGGCGCCTGCGGTCGGACGTCCTGTGAACAGATACTACACTGATCATAGCCATAAGGCCTGAGAATGACCATGTGAATTTCACTGAATGAATATATATATATATATGTATTATATTAAGATATAAATATGTATGTATATATGTATATATACACTATATCGCACTATGCACACATATAAAACCCTTTTTCAACTCGTTATAACCATATATTGCCTATACACATGCAGCATGCGTGTACATCCACTTCTATAGCGGATCTCCTGTCGCGTTTGCTGCTTGGGCTGACTCACCGTGGCATCTTCCGAAGTTGCAAAACCAGCCATAGCGAGGGGGTTCAATTGATAGACTCGGAAAAACAGCTATAAGGATGAGTTAGGTCGCGTGGACGTGGGCATTTGAGCCTCAAGCAATCGAAAATCTTTCAAGTTGATCGTGAAACTGCGACTCATCTTCAAAGCCAATGATCAACCTCAAGACAAAACTGGTCTAAAGTCAGAAGCTCAGCAAAAGAACAGTTCCAATCGTAAGGTCATCTTTCAATTCTTTCAAACACAACAGTGCAATGGTTTAGCCCATGAGTTTTCCAGTGTCGAAAAGTTCAGCCCATTTCAACTCCAAGGGTCAGGATCTGTGATGTGATGTGGTGAACTTCGAAATATCAAGTCTATAAACCATCCCCAATTCTACCAGAAATTACATATACCCTCCAGTAAATTAACATAGACCCTGGTAGATAGGGGTTTGGAAGATTAGTTTCCTCTAAAAATTGGTGATTTTCAGGGTCTATGTTAATTTGCCAGAGGGTCTATTATTTTCAGGGTCTATCATCGAATTGGATGATGGGAAAATTTACAGGAAACCCCTATATTTGATGGTAAAAACCATGGTTTCCTGTAGATTCTCCCTTAAAACCAATCCATTGAATATAGAATACATAAAAACTCTCCAAACTTGTTGGCTTATGGCATTGGCACCACACCGGGCCACGGGGACCGCCCGCCTAAGTTAAAGGCTCCATGACGTCGCCGCCAAGAGATGGATATATGGCGCCACACCAAAACACAAATACACACATATATATACACTTATTATATATATATATGCATAACATAACATAACATAGCATAATAACATAACATAACATAACATAACATAATATAATAATATAATATAATATAATACAATAAAATAATATAATACAATATAATGTAATATAATATAACATCACATAATGTAATATCATATAATATAATAATATAACATAATATAATAATATCCTATAATATAATAATACAATATGAATCTATAAAAATATAAGACAACCAAAAAAAATAATATATAAATATAGTGCATCTGCAATCATCTGCATATGTTTATACCGCATATATATATATATATGTATATTGTATATATATATAACATTCTCAAACGTATATTGTATACAGAATCTGTTCGGTAGCTACTTTCCAAGTCTACCCTGCGACATGACCTTGATCCCTTGGAACCACAACGTGTTGCGGCGTTGCCGTGGCAACAATAAAGGACACAGCCACATCTATAGATATTTATAGTTGATTTACCCCTACAAAAGAGGTGCTTTTCCATAGTTCTCTGGGTAAATTATCATAATTCACTAACCTGAAAAGTTGGGCCATTTTGGGATAATTCCTCTTATTTACCATGATTCCAGGGTTCGGGAGAACAGTGAGATCATTATAATTTACCCAGATCTATAGCATTACAGGATGTTTATAGTATTTCTTCCGTGTCAAGTGAAGAATTTTCCATACAATTTTCCAATTTACACCCATCAGCCTATCGGTTTTGAAATGATCAAACAAACCAAACTCTGCACAGTTCCAAGTAATTCTTAGCTGGCGAAACCACACCCACATTGCAGGCATCATCTCGGTGGCCATGAGGCCATGCAACAGGAACCGGCAAATTGGAGGTACCGTATATATATATATATCTGGTTGGTGGTTTTAACCATATTGAAAAATATGAAAGTCAATGGAAAGGATTATCCCATATATTATGGAAAATAAAACATGTTTGAAACCACCAACCATATATATATATACAATCTATGTAAGGGCGTTGTAAGGGGATATGCCACAAAAATATGGCTCTATATCATAAAGGACCTCCAGTTTAGAAATTGCCACAGACCATCTGCTAGCAAATATTACCAAGTGATGAAAAAGGGGACTTGAGCGTTGAGCTATGAAAGGCCTCCAAACAGGACATAGTTTATCATGAGTTGCCAGCTTTCGGTTCTGTGGAAATTCAAGCATTTCATACGGGAGACCAGTCATTCTGTGATGGATAAAACAGCGGCCCAAAATCATCTAATTCAAGGGGAAGTGCTTTTTCGCCAAGTGGTGCGTTTTCAGTTCAATGGGCAAGAAAGACATGCTGACACACTTTTGGCCATCTACACCCACATCACAAACAGAAAAACATCCGTAGATCGGTAGAGCATCACTTCTGAGGGCCCGTTAACCACTAGGCCCCTAGGTAACTCGCAATGGCTCGACGAGTCCCCCAACGCGTCCAATCACATCCAAGCTGTAGCTGTAGTCCTCAGCCGATCAGAACCACCTTGAGGAACCCATGGCATAGTTACATATAGTTATGATGAAGTGTCAACATATTTATCATACTTCTTTTTGATTCGCATAAATCATCATGAAATCTCGCGAAGTCTCGGATGCAAACAAAACCCGTGAACCCATGTATTTCATTTTATTTCATTTTATTTCCTCTGTATATAATATATCCTCTCTCTCTCTATATATATATATATATCACTTTGTGGTCGTCAACCACTGCTTCATGTTCAAAGAGTGATGTTCGCAACCCCAAAATGGGGCTTTGGATCCCCCTGTTGAAATCATGATCTGCTGCTGAGTGGAAAGCGTTTGGGACCCAACTGGAACTAGGAAAAACCCATGGTTGATGTCATTTGCATTCATGTGCTTTTGATATTCCATTTTGGTTGGTGTCCTGGGATGCTTTGGTCGCTTATAGCCCAGGAAAATCAAACCCGGGTATTTGGACACCACCGGTCGCTCTGCGTCCAGCATTGTGGGCCCGGCCCAGAAGCGTCCAGGTTGCCCTTTCAATGGCACACGAGCCAGCTCATTGCACCTCAAGCGAGGCCCCGGACGGCCTTCTCCCTGCATGGTTTTCCCATGTTGGGAAAGACTCAAAATATGCAAACCCTCCAGGTTGCATGGCGAACCTTATGGCCAATCTTTGGTAGAATATGATCATTTCTCCATTAAAACATCACTAAAATATAGCTCACAATTTACCATGAACCTGGTACCGCAAACCTAGCAGTCACCGTCGCCACCATGGCGTTTGTCCACGTTTGTCCCATACGCTTTACCAAGTGGGACACGTGATCCTGTCATCAGCTGGTAGGATTCCGTGCCACGTCTCCAGGTTGCCGATCTCGCCATCTGAGGTCATCGGGTTACCACAAGGTGAGGCGACCCAGTTAATCCGGCTGATGCACCAATTATTTTTTTCTAGATATCTATATAGGTGCTAGAGATATACCTGGTTATCCACCATCGGATTATGATACTATTTCTAGTATTCTATAGTTATGATATACTATGATACTAGAGATATACTAGAGATATACGCTATGATACCCATCGAATTCACCTAGTTATTTCACCAACTCATCGCTATCGTTGGCCTCACCTTGCACCAAAAAATTGGGGAACTGGGAGTGCTTGGGGGTGATACCGCTGGCGGCCATCGATGGCTGCGTCGCAACCCCAAAATCCAATGCCTGGAATTCAACGCAAAAAATACCATTACAAAAGGTCTCTACATGATATGTGTACTGGTTGGTGGTTTCAACCCCTCTGAAGAATATTAGTCAGTTGGGGTTGCTGTTCCCAATATATGGAAAAATAAAAAACGTTCCAAACCACCAACCAGTGTATATATATATATATGTATATGCAAATATCTTTAACGATATGATTAGATCATCTACATGCCTCATCTTTTTCTGTCAAAAGTCAACGTCCCCAGCTGAATCCGCCGCTAGGCCCGTGCCGACTGAGAGCCATGGCTTTTGGTTTGTTCGGACAGCTGCTCAAAGACTTTGTAGTAAGCACCTATGGTGAACTCATCGTCGGCAAGGTGGCGAAACAGCCCCTACCACAATGATCCAATGATATGACGGATGAATATAATAATATAACCCACAACAATCATCAACCATTTTGATAGATTATCGCTTCTTTTGGGTAACTTTCTAATCCAGAGATGAGATAATTAGGGATCACATGATGTTTGTAGTGACCGCAGTGCTGAAATTGTCCTGGCAAAGCAACGTCAGAAATCATCTGCTAATGGAATTACAGTATGATATATATATATGGTTTCTCTGAAAATTGGGCACCCTCCAGTCAACCCATGGATTGTGATCAGTTTTCCTATTAAAATTACAGTAGGATTTTGGGGGGATGCCTATTTTCAAACACAGCCTGTTGGGAAATCATAAAGGAAAAACCACGGGTTGAATACCACGTGCCCATGCCCCACATTTTGGCGATGTTAGATTCTGGGATTCCCCTCAAGGGCCCCAACAAACAAATTGCTTCAAACACTCTAAGCCGTGGTTTTCAATGGATTGGTTTAAGGGAAAATTGAAACCGGAAACCATAGATTTTCCCATGAAATATGGGGTTTTCCGGTTAAAATTTTCCCTTACACCAATCCATTGAGGTTTGGAAGGCCAGCGACCTTTCTCCGGCGGCCAGGGATCATCCAGGGTGGCTCCATAGCCGATACCTGGGAATGGAGGCTATAACCAACATAGTTATCTGGTATGCTATATATATATATGATATATATGTATATAAATGTATAATATGAACATAACATGTGCATATGTATGTTTGTACAATCTGGGTAGACCTGAATAAAAAAGGCCATAAAAGGGGATGATTCCCCACACATTAACCATGATTTCCAGGGTTCGGGAGAACAGTGAGGTCGTGATGAAATTTACCTAGATAGTTATGGATTTCACCAGGCTATCATGGGAATATCATGGGACTAACTGACTAACCCATATGATATGTGGCTTAAATTCGGGGGGAACAATCCCATCCCCGGCTGAAGTGAGTTGCATCCTGATCTCATGAGCTTTGAGCCCTTTATCCATGCATCAAATGACAAGTACAGGTCATTTTGTTCGACACAGTTTTGTTGAAATGTGCACAGCAAAAATGTTTCTGTACACACACAATAATAATAAAAATAACAATAATAATAATACATATGTATATATATATATATTTTTAATTTATGCATAATCATATGCATAATATATATATATATATAATATGTGTTTCACAGTTCTCTCTGTCGGCATCATTGATTGATAGATTGATGGATAGATTGGTCGAACAATACCGTGTTTTTCCGTGTGTTTCCTCTTCAGCCCAACTAATGTTGGAGATCACAAAACAGGCGGCCCTGTTTCATAATCCCTGCCTGAGGTATGCGTGAGCAGCTGTCGCAGGGTAACCGCCTTGGAATGTGAAGAAATCTGCTGGTAAACCCGGGGCACAAAGAGAGAGAGAGAGAGAGGGCAGGATATTTATGTATATATGTAGATATAGAATGATATATATGTATACACATGAACATGTTCATATATAATAATTTTGATATATGATTATGTAGAAATATGCCAACTGTGGTGCCTATATCATCCATCCAAAGACATGCATGTATAGATATGTATACTACACTGAACATGGTAGCCAAGTTCCCCACGGTGACCGGACGCAGTAGGCTCCGAAGTCTGGAAACTATGAGGTACATATGGGGCTTCCTACCATCAAGGTACCCCAACAGCTGGATGGTTTATAATAGGAAATCCGAAAATAACATGGATGATTTCGGGGTACCATGGTGTACCCCTCTTTTAGGAAAGCTCCGCATTCTTTATCATTCTTTGGCATCAAGGAAACGTCTGTCGAGTTGGGGGGTTCTATATGGATTTCAATCATCTATCACCTGCAAATGCTTACGCACATTATGAGCCAACTATATCCAACCACAACACAATCCTGACCCAGAAACCAGCCGAATACAGGGCTGGACATGACCTTAAATCATTGGAATGGACGGACCAGATGCCTGTCCAATGGATTCAGAGCAAGCAATCACTTTTCTGTTCGATTGCTCACTCAATCTTAGAATGGTGGTTCAATGGAACCATTGGGATTTCTAGCATGCACGGTGATAAATCCAAATGGACCCACTGCAACATCCGACACATCAGGAACCAATTGAGCTACAACTGTAGCATCTATCGATATCGCCCAACGGATGCGCCGTTTCATCCGCTATGATGATCTTAAACAAGCACCACTCGCCACAAAAATCTGAGCATCACACCTTTTCGCAAGGCTGATTTTCCTGCGGGCTGTTCCAGTATGGTAGCCGGCCAGGGCGGTGAAGTGGAAAGTGGAGGCGAGTGAAATCTAGGGCCTGCTTTTGGCACACCCTCGGTCTTGTGGGTTTTAAACATCAGTTACCCAGTTTCGCCCCCGCATACCCCAAATCTCAAGGGTTCGACCGCACATGCACCAGTGGAGTTGGCCGAGTGTGGAATTGGTTTCAACCTCCTTGCAGTTCCCTCAGGAATCTTTTCAGGCAGTTGATACGATTATCCGTGGAACGTCAAGAAACTGGGAATCATGAATTTTAAGTGCATTGTTCAAAAGATCTTGCAAGATTCAGTAAGAAATTGAATAGTAAGATAGTAAGACCAACTATTTCCAAGATTTTCCACATGAGTCAGATTTTCTTCAAAACAAGTAGCTTTGAAAAGTCAGATTCTCCACTGGTCGTTTCCCAGTGCTCCAGGGTGCGAAGCACCAAACGCGGCGTGTCCTTCTGCCCACGTTTGGGTAGCACTTTGAGTTTCGCCGTGTCAAAGGCGGGGATGTACCTCTGGATGAATCTCTTTAAGGGGGGAGGGGGTGGATAAATTAATACAAGTACCATGTATACATTACCCTTTCAAGAACTTCATTTGCAGCCAGCTTAAATCACCGTCTCGGAGAGTCCAGCTAAGATCTGGTATAATTAAGTATATAAATACTACTAATTGCCCCATGGAGGGTGAAAGAGCAAGAAAAAACAACCCACAAACATATGTTACTTCCGGTGAGCAGCACAAAAGTACTTTACTTCCAGTGAGCCCCACCCTGACATAATATTCTGATTCTGATATTCTATCTGGCATTCTATCTGCCATATATTCTGACATATTCTGACATTCTATCTGACCAGGCGTGCCCCGAGCTGGCGATATCGTGTCCAGTGCCCCACAGCAACCGGAGCTGGCGATACGGCGATATGGTGTCCGGCGCCGGAAACCACAATTGCAGCGAGTGAAGGAAGGAGTTGCGCCGTTGTTAAAATTACGAGACCCTCACCTGGCAGGTGCGGAATACCCTCTGGTAAATTAACATAACTATGGAAAATCCATTTCGAATGGGTAAATCCTCTATAAATGGCCATGTTCAATAGCTATGTTAAATTACTAGAGGGTAAACAATGACCAAAAACAGCCGGCAGTAACTACCGCAACCAACCTGCACAACTGGCAGGTTGCACCATCGAAAGAGCGACATTTTGACCGACGCCCAGCTCATCGCAAATCCGTTGGCTCTCCTCACTGCCCAGCGCCGTCCTTAAACCTTGCGATGGATGGTGGCCGTGCCGTAGCGTAGATTGTTTGGTGGAAAATGGGCTGGGAAGATATGATCTATCTATCGATCGATCCATTTATCCATCTATCCACCTATCCATCGATCCATCTATCCATTTATCCATCTATCCAGCTATCTATATTATCTATCTATCTATCTACCTATCTATCTCAATGTCTATATCATATGAAGAATATACGATGTATATACATATAGTTATACATGATAAATAATCTGTATTATTGGTATTGTTTGGAATGTGCTATATGATGCTATATGTATGGCATGAATTGGCATGATACATTACGATATGACATGGACATGATATGACATGATATGTGTGTCTACGTTTGCCTATGTTTGTCTTAAAATGATGGGACGAACTGTCTAGATTGGATGCTACACCAACTTCCAATAAGATGTTAAGCAAACATTGCATGGAAAAAAAAATAATGGAAATAAGAAAACACACAGGCAATCATACACACACACGTTTCATTACATTTAGGGTAGGACAACAATCATCAGACGTTCGCTGCAGAAATGCTGCAGGATGCATAGGTGTTATGGAAATGGCCCATTGGAATCCATTGGACCTAATTATATATACCATCTGGTGAACTAACATAGCAATGGAAAATCACCATTTTTAATGGGAAAATCCACTATAAATGGCCATTTTCCATTGCTATGTTAGTTCACCAGAGGGTATATATATTTATATATATTTATTTATTTACCTATATCACGACCAATCTAATTCCAATGAGGCAACAAGCAGAACAGAGTCAGTTGTCATGTCACACTTTGCGTAACTGACCCAACAATCCAAAACGCCGTTAGTGTGTCCAAACTAGAATGCAACTAATAACCACTGATTTTTCAATGTGTTAATCATATTTTCGCTGTTTGAATAGCAGTTTTACCACAGGTTCAAACAAACCCACATGCTCAAAAGAGTCAGAAAAAAGACGATGGATGTTCGCTTCCAGCAGAGGAAAGAATTGATTCCACGAAAATACACAAGTCTAATTAGAGTATCGTCCTGGGGAACCATTTCAAAACCATCAGCGAAGTTAGATGATTAATCTCTCCGAGAATCTCTCCCCATTTGGGTTTGTCATGGTCTGAAAATAGTGTTGGATTATCATCACATATCATCATTTTCCCCATTGAAATAGCCATTTAGGGCTATCTCCACCACTATTTCCTGATCGTGAAATCTCGGCGCTTCTAGCCCCGCCGAGATAGTTGTCACGTCGCAGACTCCGCCCAGCAGCTGGAAAAGGCTGCAGGGCCCAAAGCGATTCCGTCCGCCACCTTGGAATGGCTGGGGCCCTCGAGGCCTTTGGAAGCAGCTGATCACTGCCGAAAAACATCCCCCAAGGCCAAGCATTCTCGAAGCCACTATGATGTCGAGTTGGTTACACCCTGTGACATGATATCGCCATATAATTCCATACATGAATATATATATATATATGATATACATAAAATTAATGTATTCGACATTTCAAGGAGAAGCATCGACTGGACGGACAAAACATGTGCTGGAACCAACTCCAGCAAACATGACTGAAGTGATAACTGGGCAATTCCACTCCGTGTAGCAGAGCAATTAGCAGTTGGGGACTCAATGCCAGGCCTAATGCAAACGTGATGTCAGACTCCAACAACTTTGAATTCAACCGTATTATTGCCACCTATGAAATAAACAAGAACTGTTAAACTTGGGTCATTGGTTCCCGGCAGAGTCCCTGAAGCTGTGTGAGTGACCCAGTAAAAGTCATGAACTCCCAAGTCAGGATTCTTGATGGTCTTTGATTGGTCATCTCCCACATCACAATACCACGTAGCATAATTTATGTGGCTATTGGAAAACTTGGCAATCGAAACCGACCATGACATATCATGACATCATCCATCTGTAGGTGAATTTCTCCTGGCAATGGCTATATCCACACACGAAACCAACCCTGCAGCCGGGGCTATTATGACTCGGTGGACCTCCATTTGGATGAAATGTTCCCTCAAAATGCCTGCCATTTGCCAGTAAATCAGACATTGTTTTGTGTATATAATCCTTCATAAGTGGAATGATAGTGGGATGTAGTCAAGCCCCAGTTCCGCATTTGATTGAAACATTGGTTGATTTTTCTCTTTGGGATCATCAATGATAGGAAGAATCTGCATCTCTGATGATAACCCGCCATCATTTATAATGCCTCAAATCCCCTTTGTGTTACTTAAATCCCCATGCAATTATCATGCTTGAATCACCATTTTGCGGGTGAAATACCATTGAAATGCCATATATATATATATATATATGTGCAATCTCCGTATGTCAAGCATATAATTTTCCCATATAAACCATATGCGAAGCATCATTTTCCCATGACCTCAGGTGCGTCGCGGCGAGACGCCATCCGTCTGAAGAGCTCTGGCACTTTGTCCAGATCCGAGGAGGCCGCCAACCTCAAAACATGGGGGATTTCACCGGCAAAAAATAGTGGAGAAATGGAAATTCCATGGCATCACTCAATGGATTGGTTTAGTCGGGAAAATCTTAACCGGAAACCAGAGTGATTTTCCCATAAAATAATCATGGGGTTTTCCGGTTAAAATTTTCCCGACTACACCAATCCATGGCATCACAGATTGAATCATAGCGCCATGGAAACCCGTTGCTTCCCAGACATGATCTAGTTTCACGGTTTTCCATATCTACACATGTTTTGTTTCTCATACCCTCTGGAAATTTAACGAAACTATGGAAAATGGATGAACAGGGCCTGTTTACAGACTATGAATTAAACTGTGTAAATCTGTTGTTTCCCACAGCTATTCTAAATTACCACAGGGTACCAATTAACTCACATGGAAGCTGCAAGAATGCGGCTTTGGCAAATGATGAGGACTCGGAAATGGGACATTCCTTTTGTGGTGCAATTTCTTGCAGGTCAAATACCTTCATCATCCGTTTCCCCTGGCAGAAAATAGACAATGTTTGGGAGTTTTGAAGGTCCCCGATTTTTTGGCTAGGTTTTGAGGATGCTTCAACACTCCAAAGAAACATAAAATCAAAAAAAAGTGGTCTGTTCTTGATCTTGAACGCGTGGATTGAGATGTTCCCCCAATACACCTTTGTTATCAGTTTGAACCTTTTTGAATACACATCACTTGAATTTCAGTAACCAGAAGCCAAACGATAAATTCAATTTGCACCTAGACTCAACGATGTGACAGTCCAGTTCCACAAGTTCAGTAGCCCAAAGTCGTTGTTTTGGAACTGGTCACAACCTTCCACATCTCCTGCCCAACCTTTTGCATCTTTTTTGCTATACTAGACTCTTAGATTGCCTTACGCTGCTATGCCCATCTTCATTTGCCCGCTTCTCTTTGGTTGCTGTTACAATGTTCATGATGCTGGCTCAATGTCATAAAACTGTACGCATGTTGGATTGCCCTGCTACTCTTGTGGCATCGCCCCTTTCAAACACACCCAGCTATCATATCAGTTGCTGTTCATACCTGTAATGCCACTAAAAATCCCATTGTGTTTGGTTTACGTTAGATTTTCTATGTGTTTTTCCGGTTTTACATGGTGAAACATGGTGTAGTGGTTCCCAGTTGTGATGGATATAACAGTTGTGATGGATATATCACCACTTTCGGTTGGTTCAATCCCCATGTGGCTCTGAAATCCCATCAGGGCAGCCGGGCGCGACAAGGACTTGATGGTACATCTGGCCATCGGCCAGCGACTGCTCCTGACACTGAAAATCGCTGACCTCATGGCCGATAGTCGTGTGCAAAAAAAACGTCCATTGTAACGATATATGCAGTGTATGTTTTCAATTTGTAACACATATAATTATATATATATACAATAAAAGTTTCGGTAGGACATATGTAGATACAATCTATCATCATATGATTGGAACTATATTTAGATCGGCAGTTGTTTAAAATTGTGATGTGCAATTGTCAGCGCAATAAATCCTACAGTAATAATAAATTTAATCATGTAAATTCACACGTATATATAGATATAGAATTAAATATACAACATGTATACATACCCATGTAAACAATAATTCACACATAAATACATAGCAAAACATACCGTAACATAACATAACATCACATTGCATCACATTGCATTACATAATTACATTACATATATTACATTACATTACATAATTACATTACATTACATTACATTAAATTACATTACATTACATTACATGCATTACATTACATTAGATTGGATAAGATTAGGTTACATAACATAACATACAATAACATTACAGTATAAAACGTTTTATATAGTGAATTACATTACATCATTACATTCAATTGCATTGCATTGCATTTTGTTACGTTACCTTACATTACAGTACAGGACAGGACAATATATACATACATGCCATACATACATACCATACATTACCATCCATACACTACATAGGTTACATACATGACATACATTACATATATTACATACGTTACGTACATTACATACACTACATACATTACATACACTGCATGCAATACATACATTACATACATGACATGCAGTGGATGCATTACATCCATTGCATACGTGACACACATTACAGGCATTACATGCATCACACACACACTATAACAATAGCATACATAGCATGCAACACATACAGAACATACAGAACATACATAACATGCCATACAAAACATACATTACATACATTACATTACATTACATTAAATTACATTACATTGCATAATATTACATTCTAATACAATACATCACATTACAATACACTACAATACATTACAATACAACACATTACATTACACTACACTACATGACATAGGCACTAACAAAGTCGAATGTAGCTGCTTGGCAAATAAGAAACAACTGAAGAAATCCGCCCACCTGAGCCACCTCCAGTATGTTCAAGGCTTCCTTTGCTTCACCGGAGCAACTCAGCGCCCTGATCAGCGCACCAAGGCCCTTGAGGTCAGCCTGGCTTCCATGGGAATTTTCGATGGGCCAGAATGGGGTATAGTCAGCTCATTGGGATGTAAAATCGACTCAGAATTTATGGATTTCTTGCCTAAGATTGTCTAAGCGGAAACACTCGTTTTCGTGTGTCTTGTATATTTCCCCTTCAACCGATTCTGGGACTGTGGGCTTTCTTGATGTGTCAGACCTTGCGCTGCCCCGGAATCATGCAATGCATATAAGCCATGACGTTCACCTTGGAAACATTATATACATTCTTGTTGATATAGTTATCAGCATATGTCGCATGTGTACTCTTGAGATTTCTTGGGCCTTTTTCACGTATATCTTTTTCTCTGCGCATGTGTATGCGTGTATGTGTAAAATAAACGTACACATATATATATATACATTATATAATATATATATATGTATAGAGGGAGATGCATACGCGTTACGTAATCATCATTTGTACACAAGAGAGGCATTATGCAATAGATACATAGATACATACAAAAGAAACACACATATATATATACACATTTTAGATACATATATAATGCTATATACATACATCAGAAACGCACACACACACATATAATATATATATATATACATATACATATATGTGAAATATACTAAGCACGTACAAAAAATACATGCGAGAGCGACAACAGAAGAGAGCTAAAGGGAGCAAAAGAGAGCGAGAGGGAGGGAGACAGGGCTCCTACGTGCATGTTCGCACATGTATATGATTGCAGCTGAAGACTGGCTATTCTATTCACCACCTTATCGTTTCACCAACCTGAAGTATCAGCCACTGAATGCCCCCAGCATCAATGGTATGATTACCATTGTTTACCTACATGACTGGAGGATCTGTGGGTGAAATGTAGGTGATTGAATGTAAAAGGCACCATAGATCCCACAAATTGAAAAGTACATATTCCTAAGCCATTTCTATTCTTATTCACAAATGCGGCAATAGTCTACCCTTCCAAACATGAATCGGTGAATCTTGCAATATCCTACTAGATATGCCCAAGAGCTAGACAGTAAAACTTACCACTATTGTTGTTGGACTTTACTTTTCTGTAGCTTCTTGGGTGTTTCTGGCTATGGGTCAAAACCTTGGTACTCTCCTGTTCACACCTGGATCTTCATTCTCAACTATATCCAAATATGATACCATAGGTTTTGACCCATTTCCAATAAATGCTAGTTGGTCAAAACATGGCATAGGGATGTATATGCATTGTGATCCTCCATACCATCGGGAATCTAAATCCCTAAATGCACCCTCCAAACAGGGGAGTTACCCCCACCTCATACCTAGATGTTTCATTCCCCAAGCTCCGCTTGTGAAATTTTTGAGGGGGGAAGCCGCAAAACCATTGAATTTTACAGCTCTAGAAGCCCCCGCCCCGAATTTTCATTGCAGCAGTAGGATTCTGTTTCTGGGTATATGCCGGGGCTAACCCTATCTAGCCACCAAAATCGCTGGTATCCACCGTGGTCGTAGAAAAAAAAAATACCTCCCCTTGAGAAATTCCACTGCGGCAGCAAGGTTCGGTTTCTGGATATCTAGCCGCGGCAAGTTTTCAAAGACAAGGGGCAGGAGTTCGCAGAGGTCATATGCGGTTTTCCTTTTGATCTCTGTGTATCTAATTATGTGTATCCAATTGCCATATCTAGGCTAGAATCTGCCATCCGGAGGACCCCCCACCTCTTTTGGAAGCCCAAAAACCATGTAGGGTGGGTATATTTCATGTGTTCAGGTGAAATATTTCTCAGAAATTTCTTGCCTAACACTCCACCAAAATATTCCAGGGTTAAAGGGGGGCTGATAACTTTATTTTTTGGGTTGATGAGCCATGTTTAACCAATGGTCATCGATCTATATATCCCATGTTCCTCAGAATTCCCAGTGAGGAAAAATCCGTTGGGAATGACCAATCCCTGATTCCCATGTGGAGGTAGAATCCAACTTTCGACCCATCCCCATTTGGGGGGTTCAAAAAATTGGGGAACCCCAAGCCACCATGGTTGTTTCAATACACATCATGGTCATCCATGACGATTGGATGAGGACTGGGGGTACCCTCGTGACTTCGGAAACCTCCATAGCTAACCAGCCGGCTCCAGCCGCGCCTTGTACCCGGCTGCCTCCATTGCAGCAAAGTGCCTCTTGGCCCCTGCGGCATCTCCTTTTCGAGCGCACCTGAGATGCGAGGGCTGGATCCGCTGGGCTGGAATGAAAGGGGAATTCAATAGAGTTTCGAGTCGGCTTTCAGTGCGAGTTTGGTGAAAGATGGTAAAAGTGAACGGGGTCTTCATGACATTTCATGATTGTACTGCAACGAGTTTTTCGAGGGTGAATCAATATCCTCCATGATTTTCATGGGGATAAAAAAATCCATGTTGATAGCAATGTTTTGGGTACAGTATATATATATAATTGAATTGGGATTTCACGAGCTTTACAGTAATGGTCTGTAAAGGAGATTTGATGAAGTTTGGTGCCCAGGGGCTGTTACAGGTGCCCACATGGCATTCCAAAGGAAGGACCAGTCACTGAGCTGGCTGACCAAGCATCTGAGTACCACATCATCATCATCATCATCATCATCATCATCATCATCATCATCATCATCATCACACTCTATTTAATCTATTCGAAGCATCAGGAGGATGCGGGCGTCATCCAGAACCATTGGCGCAGTTCGGGCGACCCCGTTTCTGGGAGATGAGTTGAAACGCCAAAGACCGACCCGATGATGTCAGAACAAAAAGGAGGGGTCAATGTGGTAACCTATTAGGCTGGGAGAAACTGGCCGGTAGTAGGAAGGGATGGGAAAAAAACGCCTATAATATTCTATAATAAATAACAGGAAACCAGTAACCCTAAAAAGATGGATAAATATAGCATGCAACTAAAATTTATTGCAAAACAATGCAAAACACATCAAGAAACATATTTTAAAATAGTGGGGCTAGACATTGGGTGCCATCACCAAAAGGGGCATTGGAGCCAAGTGGCGATGCGATCACTGACGTGTATCCTGGATCAAGTCACCGGGTGCACAAACGACTTTCCTGGAGCCCTTGGACTCTCAGGGCATCCAGCTGAACGTAACCTATCTGCAAAAAACAGATGATTACATGTTCTTCAGATATGCATAGATTCCTATCAAATGTCATTTTTTACTCAATTGGATGGGATGTCAGATTTACTGTAGATCACTGATTCCAATTAAGTATAAACGTTCCTTTCTCCCAATCCATGCGGACCGAAATTTCACTCCTTTGATGCCAGGGTCGATGGAGCGGCTCTTCATGATTCCCAGCCAGCGGACTCAGCGAAGCAGGGGAGAGCTGGTGGTGAAACAAGCCAAGAATTTTGATTAACCATGGATAACCATGGTAATCTTGGTGATTTTCCATAGCAAAAACCGGGATTATGAAGGATTCCTGTAAACTACCAGTCTGTTGGGGATGTAACATGGACCCCCCCCAAAAAATAGAACCACAATAATATTATATTGACTATTTTAATTTAGTAGGGCTTTACTGTTCTATCTTTTTGGGCGCTGCTACAACCAAAATGGTTTGCTGGCTTGGTTGCTTGCTCGCTTGCTTGGGATGGAAATTGTGTGGACAAAAACAATTAAATCAAAAAAAACACACAAACATATACCTTGATAAAACATGATAAAACCCTATTATGCTGAACACCCCCCACTGTTTGCTGGGCAGGAGATTGCCCCTCAAACTTGGACATGCAAAATAGTCAAGTCAATCATCACGCCACCACACCATCTTCCACAATGTTTTCATGGACAATCCTATCTAGCTTTCACCAGAACAGAAATGGTTAAGCCGGGCGCCAGATTCCACGGTTTACAATCAGAAACAAGCTATGAACTTAGGTTTGCTACCCCCTGATAAAACCTGACAATGGAAAACCCATTGACAATGTTGCGGCATTTTATATGAAATCTAAAACGAAAGACTTGCTGTTTGGAAATACAAGACATAGATTTCCCCATGACGCGCGGATGTGAGTGCCATATTGCGGGCAACCAGTTGGTGGCCTGCGTTCGCCCCGCGTAGCATCTGAAGAAGTGGAGCTCTAAGGTCTTTAGCATTGCCAATGTTGCCATCGGCCAAACACCTCAGGTGGTCGCGGCCTCCATGATGATCATGATTGGAACATAGTGGATATATCACCCATAAGCCATAAACATATCAACTGTGAATTTTCCAATCATCTTGGCACACATGACAATGATTTTTTTGTTTATATGCCCCAGTTTTATCATGTTTCATCAACAAATGGTGGAGCTATTACCAATCGGTGGGGCTATAGCCAGCGTCACCGGCGACCAATCCGGGCCCAAGCGCGCCACCAGAGCCAGCCCAGTGCCCTAAGTGCCACGCCTGCCACGTGAAACGAAGGTGGTTGTCGCCAAGTGCCACGCCTGCCACGCGAAACGAAGATGGATGTCACCAAGTGCCACGCCTGCCACGCAAAACGACGGTGGATGTGAGTTTGTGCCACGCCTGCCACGCAAAGTGCCGCGGCGTCCCGGGCGTCACGGGCGACCAAGCCAGTCCAAGCGCGCCACCCAGTGCCACGAGTGCCACGCCTGCCACGCAAAACGACGGTGGATGTGAGGTTGTGCCACGCCTGCCACGCAAAACGAAGGTGGATGTCTGGTTGTGCCACGCCTGCCACGCAAAGTGCCGCGGCGTCACCGGCGACCAATCCAGGCCCAAGCGCGCCACCAGAGCCAGCCATTTATGGTTATTTTGGGGTTGGTGTATGGCATTGGGTTTACCACACTGTAGTTGCTTGATCCATTCTCATATCCCATGTCCCATCACCACTTCAACTGGTGGACTTCACCCAGTAGCTTGAAGCACCCACCCTTAAATGGACATTACACAGACGGCACGCCCCTGCATTATTTTTTCCTCCAGGCTTTCTGTTAGGTCTTCTTCGCAGCTCTGGCGAAAGAAGACCTGGGTCTGGATATGATCCCTGACTTTCTCTTTCTAAAAGGATTGGTAAAATGGTAAACCTACAGGAAACCACAGTTTTTACATGTTTTTACCCATCGTTATAGATGCAAATAAAGGTTTTGCTGCAGATGAGTTTGGTCCCACCTTTGATGGCTGGTCAAAGCTTCCAGTTTCTTATTTAATATCTATCTATCTATCTATCTATCTACCTATATACATACACATGTGCATATATGTATATTTGTGTATACACCATTTACATACATATATATATATATATGTATATATTAATATGTATATATATATATATGTATGTATATATATATGTATATATATATATATGTGTGCGTGTATCCCATTCTGTTTGGTCCAGTTTGATTTAGGGGAGAGCTCTGCCGGAACCGCAATTTATTTCCTGCTGGGGAAAACTTTAGGAGTGTTGGGTGGTTGCTACTTTTAGACATTGAACTAACATGCAGCAAAGTAGCGTTGATCTCACCCCGGATGGTAGCCTGCCCAAGCCTTAGATAGCCTGATAAATCTGATAACGTTTGACTCAACCAGTTGGATGCTGAACTGAGCCAGACAAGCTGTCAGGAGATCAAACTGTGACCGTCGAACTGTGAGCTGTTGGCCACCTGTGGCTGGCTCCTTCCCACCAACTGTAAGGAAGGTGCCATGCCACAGCGTTGAGGGATATGTAAACATCAAACTGGACACAACGGCCACCGATCTGCCAGAAGCACGGAGGGCAGCACTGCTGTTTCGATGGTGGTTGAGCCACTCATGTGGCAGATGAAAAAGGGAATCAACTGGGATATAAGTGGGATAGTCTTCCCATTCAAATCCACGGAACAACATCCAAATCCAAATCATCTATTGAATCTACATATATATATAATATATAATATATATATATATATAATCTATTTGTTTTATCCACGCGACGAATGTCACAAGCAGAAGTGCCAACTTCCGTTCGAATCAATCTGGTAGTGGCCATTCGTCCAAGCTATTGGTTGATACTCTGCGGAGTGCTGACACGGCTCCTTCGTTAAGTGAGCAGTCAGCATCAACCGGGCTAAGATGGCTATGGGTCAAAATTTTGCGAGGTCGGATGCTTGACACATGAGAGTTGTCAGACAACCTTTGCATATCTGGCCTGGGCTTGTTTAGATCCCTCTTGACCCCCAACTTGTGCAGAAATCATCATCTCAGCCTACCAACATCTCCCAGTGGCTCCCCCCAGCATGGCCAGATTTTGACACATTCCCAAACGTGTACAGGTCAAAATTGAGTACTCGCAGATGGGTCTACCTCCATGTTTGGTCGGTAAATGGGCTCCAATTTCAGCCTGGCCAAGCTGAGAACCCTCCGGTAGACACCCTGAATGAACCCCTGATCTTCCAGAATCTACGATCTGGTAATTTAACATAGCTATTGAAAATGGCCATTTATAGTGAGTTTTCCCATTAAAAATTGTGTTTTTCCACATAGTTATGTAAACGTTTACCAGAGGGTAACCCGAAATCTGAATTTTTGACCCAGCCAGATCGACTACAGAAATGGGAGGATCCGATGGATCCATAGCACCTTCGGCAGCAACAGCACCTGGGCCGCCCCGCTGGCGCTGGCCTTCGGTCTTTGAAGAGCCATCAGCAGTAAGAAGACCAGGCGCTGGCGCTTCAGTGGGATCCTTGGCGAAAAATGGAGCTGATGGAGCTGCTGATACATCATCCTATCTGTCTATTGAATTCTATTGATCTATCCGATCTATCCGGTTGGGATGGAGTTTTCAGGCACCAAATACATCTATCCAGTGAACGTATCGTTTATATATGTTCAAATGATTTGATGAAGGTAAACAATGAATAATTTGACGAGAACTTGGGCTCACCAAAAATACAGGATCTGTAAGCAGACTCTGAGAGAAGGGTGAGTGGTGCAGCAAAGCGCTCATGGCCGATATGGCCGGCACTGCCAATTCTTCCAAACAATCTATCTGTCTAGCTCTCTAGCTGTCTAACAATCGGTCAATCTGTCAATCTGTCTATCATTATCTACTTCTGTCTGCCTATCTCAATGCAAGCTACAATGCCCAAATGTTTGTTGCAATCTTCCACTCATAAAGAAACGACTCTAGGAAGGATTTTTCATGTCCACGGCGGTTGTAATGTGCAAGTTGGATCATATATGGCAAACCTTCAGTACCCTCAAAAGTATATGGATATATGAAGATGATATATGCTCCAAACATACGGATATATGGATATATATATATATGATGATATATGGATATATGGATAACCCGCAAAAGTTCATTTTCAGCAGGATATCTCTCTCTCCATTGCCTTCTCAGTTCAGCAGAGTTAAAGGCGCGTAAGATACAACTCCGCTTAGCGGCTTAGCGGAGCAGAAGATGGATCTGCCATCGATGACTGCTGGTTTCCATCCCATTCTTGATAGTCCTTTCGTTGATCACAGTACGCCCCATCATTGTTGCTTCTATCTCCCATGTTTCAAAAATCAACCCATTGGACAATGAAAGATCCCTATCTCATACTATATTTATTCAGAACTTTAGCCGCTAAAATCGTCAAATCCTCATTTTCTTGCAGGGTTAAGTTTCCATTTTGGTCAAATCATGTTAAAACATGTAAAATGATCATGTAAAATGATGACTATATAATTATATATATATATATATATTGCAGTAAACTCCATGTAAAATCATGTTAAGTCATGTAAAATCCCTATTTCTGTGCCCAGAACCTCCGGCGTTCTGCCAGGGAGCCGTGGATGATCCGTGAGGCTCCAAGGAATTTCATAGCTCCGCACGGGGAAACGAGGCGGCACCGCACCTAGCCCCGGGGAATCAGTGGTGGATGATCAACATCTGCTTGAACCGTTTACCCGTCGGCTTCAAAAACAAAAAGCCGAGCCATAGGATATATAGCTGGCTATATCTGGCTATATCTGGATCATTTTTTTGGGGTGAATTTGGGATGAATCAATGTGCCCACCAGGATGGAATGCGACAGTATCAAGTCGTACATCAGGAAACCAGGAAGCAAAGAAATAGACAGTAGAAACATGTAGAAGCATCCCCTGGGCACTATATATACAGTGCGAATGTAGACTCGCCGGCGAAAGCTGCTTGGCTGTTTCAGCCCCATTGGCACAAGGCAGGTCAAGTTGAACAGCTCGAACATCAGCAATATGTCAGCGTCCAAACGAGCACACATTATACCATAACTTATACCATAACTTATCAGATATCCATTTTCCGAATTAGAATCATTAGAAAGTTGATATCTGATAAGTTATGGTATAATGATAACATATGATAACCTACCGAAGTATACTTCAACATTTTGGGGAATGATGACATGAATGATTCAACCTACCGACCTTGCCCTGGGGTAAACGTTTACAGGACATGATGTGGAGAACCCATGGTAGTAACTTTCCGGCAGGACATGATCGAACCAAAATGGTGGATTTTACACATCGAACTGTTGGTTTTCAGGAGGGTATATCCATGAATACCAATAATCGGATAGATTCAATATGGAATACCCCATTCATTATCACGATTATTATCCCTTTATTAAAATACAGTAAGCCGGCCATATATCCCGATGTTTCTTGTGGCACCTCTTGCGGCCAGCAATTCCTCACGTCGCCCGGCCAGTCGCTCACGTTGAGGCAGTGCTGGCTCGAAGAAATCGCCTTGAAAGGCGGTGGGATATATGAACAACATCTGGTACCAAATACATCAATATCATCAAAATACATTTTTTTTTACCAGGATGTTTTATGACTTTAGGACAACTTGATAATCATAAAACATAATACCAGATAATACATCATGTGAAACATGTTTTACCAAGGGGGTTAGGACAGGATTCTCCGGTGCCAAGTGATCCAAGTGGCAGCCGCTGTAGTCGATGGGCAGCACAGCTAAAAGCTGAATGGCCTGGTGAAAAAAAATCAGTGCACCAGGTATGGTGAAACGTGGAGATTCCCCAAGGAGACCTGAGTCTAACTGTGGTTCTTGATGCTTACTATATATTCATGCTTATTGATGGTTATATTGATGCTTATTGATGGCTACATTGATGGTTATTGATGATTATTGATGGTTATTGACCTATTGATGATGATTGATGGTTATTCATGGATATATTGATTGGATATGGATGCTTATTCATGGTTATATTGGATGATGATATTGATGGTTATTGGTTCAGTATTGGCATGGTTCAAGTTGAACGGACCCAGGCCTCTTCGAAGGAACCACATTGCAGAAATCGCGACCTGAGTAGTTTCGAGGTCCAAGCCGGTTGGGGAGGATGTGGCGGGTTATTTAACACCTGGAAAAACATGCAATGTTTTTCCTTATATATATATACATACTGTGTATATATATATATATATATTATAAATATAAATGTAACACACACACATATAATCACATATATATATATATATAGTGACGGACAATCACTTAGAACGTATTTTGGAAAAAAAATTCTGAATATTACTGTTTTTTTTTACGTTCTAAGCCTTGCACTTAGAACGTCGAAAACCATACACTTAGAACGTCCAAATATCAAGATTCATCACTTAGAACGTACCGGGGATTTAACACTTAGAACGTGTCTAGGTCACTGATGATAGTGGAAAGGCTTGTGAAATCTTTTATCTCTAAGTGTTGGATCCAGCAGCTAATTCCGTAGGAAGCATAGACATAATTTCGTACCATTTGGCTTTTCCCTCCCATATGATGTGCAAATATTGGCGATCTTTTATCTCTGGAACACTATACCTTTTGGTGCTTTTTGGGGGTTCTGAGTTCTGATGTTCTAAGTGTTGGATTCAGCAGCTAATGCCGTAGGAAACATAGACATAATTTCGTACCATTTGGCTTTTCCCTCCCATATGATTTGCAAACATTGGCGATCTTTTATCTCTGGAACACTATACCTTTTGGATCCTTTTGTTGCTTTTTGGGGGTTCTGTCGTTCTAAGTGTTGGATTCAGGAACTAATTCCGTAGGAAACATAGACATAATTTCGTACCATTTGGCTTTTCCCTCCCATATGATTTGCAAATTTTGGCGATCTTTTATCTCTGGAACACTATACCTTTTGGATCCTTTTGGTGCTTTTTGGGGGTTCTGACGTTCTAAGTGTTGGATTCAGCAGCTAATTCCGTAGGAAACATAGACATAATTTCGTACCATTTGGCTTTTCCCTCCCATATGATTTGTAAATATTGGCGATCTTTTATCTCTGGAACACTATACCTTTTGGATCCTTTTGGTGCTTTTTGGGGGTTCTGTCGTTCTAAGTGTTGGATTCAGCAGCTAATTCCGTAGGAAACATAGACATAATTTCGTACCATTTGGCTTTTCCCTCCCATATGATTTGCAAATCTTGGCGGTCTTTACCTCTGGAACACTATACCTTTTGGTGCTTTTTGGTGGTTCTGACGTTCTAAGTGTTGGATTCAGCAGCTAATTCCGTAGGAAACATAGACATAATTTCGTACCATTTGGCTTTTCCCTCCTATATGATTTGCAAATATTGGCGATCTTTTATCTCTGAAACACTATACCTTTTGGTGCTTTTGGGGGTTCTGACGTTCTAAGTGTTGGATTCAGCAGCTAATTCCG